CTCTGGACCCACTCTAACAGGCCCTTGTGTTTCTTGTGATGGGGGTCTGAGAGCTGGATGTGGTACTGCAGGTGGGTTCTCATGAGGAATAGAGGAAGAGAAAGCATCTCCATCTAGGCTCCCATTGAAGTATTTCTGCCCTTGGTTACTGACACTAAATAAGCTAATGGATGCACTGAATAGTAACATATCAGCAGCTAATAAAATTAAACTAAGCTAGACAGTATTGCTACACTGAATAAAATATATTCCTCCCTCAAACAGCAAAGACAGTAGCATACAAAATAGTGGTGACACAGACCTTTAGCTAGGAACACCAATTGGCAGGCCTTGGCAGGAGTGTGTAAATTCTGCGGTTTGGTCCTGGAGGTTGTGGCTTCAGCCCCAGGCCCCAACTCCCTACCACAAACCACCAGAGACTGCTCACAGTAAATACAAGGCCAACTTCTCTTTAGCAAGGTTCCATCATATTCAAATATTACCATGCTAAGGGCTTCTAGCTTAAACATCGTTCCATAGGCATGGCTACTGAACAGGAGCAATAGGTAGGCATGAACTGGTCGCAGCACGACCTGGCTGAGACCCGTTCAGCTTGACAGCCAGGGAAAACATTTTGAGTGCCTCATCTCCACATGAAGCCTGTCTTGTTGGACAGCCATTTGGGAACACAGCTCAGCTGCTTTCGCTGAATCAGACAGAGAGGTCTGCAGATGATGATATTGCCTGGATTCCAGGAGCACCCTGGGGACGCTAATCGTGGTCCAATGCCACGCTCCACTGGTACTTCCCATGCACTTGGCAAAAGATCCGCATACCAGGAAGGACTGTCTGCTTGTAGTGCCACTAGCAGAGCGGCAGGTGCTTTCGAACCATGCCATGCTCTGTGGTGGGATTTCCAACATCCAAACGTTATTAACTCGGCCCCTTTCTGAACACTGGGAATAAGGAATCTGCATGGGCATGAGTGGTCAACGCTGCTCGGCCCATTGACACTGGAACTAGACAGATGAAAGTCACACGTGGGGCAGCCCCTGCTTTGCATTTTGGTGCAGATGTACACAGAGAAAGGAGCGGAGGCAGAGCTGAGACGGTGGGAAACTTGGCGAGAAGAAGGGCGTCTGTTACTTGAAATCACTCTAAAGCACATTACAAATCTGTTAAATCATTGTGGGTTACCCTGTATTTCAGAGTAAATTAGTAACTTTTCAGAGGGAGTGAAGAAACTACCACTCTACTTTTAAATAATGAAAATGCTAAAAAACCTACACTTAACAGCTCTAAAACTGCAGCAAGTCACCCACCAACACCCACTCCTCTTGTCAGCAGGCTTTTTTCAGCTTTGCCTATTATTTGTGTGAAGTGAGAGATGTTTAATATTTGCTGCCCTTATCTGCTCAACTTTAAGGACCCTCCAATGTTACAATATGTACCTGGGCCACTGACCTCTTTTCCCACAGCACTTTGATCTAAGTAAGTAACAAACACGGAGTTTCCAAAATCATTTGGATTCACTGGCTCTCAGTGCATAGCTGTAAAAAATCTGCTTTAAGATTAACATCCAATTTTATTCATGCCTGAGGCTTCACCACAGCATCTATTTTTGTAAGATTAACAGCAAGATCCCAGTTCTCCAGAAATGTAAAGAGTAGCAGCCAGTTGTAAAAGAAATCTGATATTTCCTAATTTGTCCTGTTCACATTCAGGAAGGCATATTTTCCTAGACCTTTCAATGATGGGTGTAATTTCTACTTGCATTTTTGCACCCACAACATGCAGCATGTGTATTAATCTTTCTGCCTCCCATTTGCTGACATGCATTTCTGATGAAATTGTGAGTGCCAAAAAACACTAGCGCAAATCTCACATGTGCAAAGTATCCCCTGAAAGACAGCTTTTACTCTGGAGGAGTTAAGAAACAGTCATCTTCCTGTACCTTGCACAGAAGCATCTTGGATCATCTAACTTGAAAATGCAAGTACATAAAAGGAGCACTTAATATTCCAGCTAATCCATTTTAAATTAATATACATGCAAACATTTCTTTTTAACATTGGAATCTGAGGACAAATTGGGGGCCATTTTTAACTTTAACAGCAGAAGAAAAATTGCTTTAAATAGTGCCTTTGGTATCTGTCAATTAGAGCTATTGCACTGCTGTCAACTTGCACTCCCTTAGTTCCAGCTTTGCTCCATCCTACACAGATCCATACAGATCAGTTGTCTCTTCCAAACATTCACTAACCACTGGAAAGTGAAATTAATAAAGTGTGAGAAAAGCTGACTCATAAAGCTGACACTCCTGTGCCCAACAACTCTGGGTTTCTCCCCTCCAGCTAGCTGTTTGAGATAGACAGGCAAAGTGGTAAAAGATTATCAAATTGCAACTGTCACTCCTGACAAAATGCATCTGAATGCTGGAAGGAATTTTAGGTTTTAAGCTAAAGCACCATCCCAAAGAGTTCCTCAGAGCCTGTCAATATCTGTACCTTGGATGGAAAGCTACCACTGAGCGCAGTGCGTCCAACATATAGAACCTGCCATGAAATGAAGTTCTTCATAAGAAAGCTCATCTCAGTCTTGGTTGGTAACAATAACAAGGAGACAAGATGAGACCATCAGTCTCAATTGTGAAGACAATGTTTTCCTCCCATATTATTCTATCTGTCATGTTCCCTTCAGGTTCCAAAGGAATCCCTGTCTCATACATCATTATTTCCCACAAAGCTTGAAAGCCTTCAGGGGGGGTTTCTTCCTGCCCACTGTACCAGCCTTGATGTCTGAGTACCTTCAGAACAGTGACAGAGGCTTCTACCAGCAATAAAGGGAAACATCTGCATACCAATTAAACTGCTGAGCTCTGAAGAGTTAAAAAAAAAAAAAAAGGAGAAAAAAGCCTTGAAAGTAAATCTGAGCCAAGTTCTAATTAATGCCCTAGGCCCCGATTCACCACAGCACTTAGGCATGTAGTTAACTTTAAGCACGTACTAAGTTCCATTGAAGTCAAAAGACAGCATTGAAGAGGCAAACTACATTAGCACAATTTAATACTCTTCGGGCTAATTAATCAGCCATAAAAATTAACTGTGAGAGTGGTATTCCTTATTTTCCTTGCTGTGATACTTACAGATAAAAATGCTTGGATGTGGTTGGAATAAGCAAAAAGCAATACCTTGTTTAGCTGTCTTAGGCTGCTAAGTCTTACAGTTGTAAAGACCGGCCCCAGAGAGCAGGTAAAGGAGCTGAACTCTCTACACATTACAGTCTTGCAGTCTAATGTACGTGTCATCTACCTGGCAGAGGCACACAAGCACTAAAGACACAGTTCTTGTCCTGGGGAGCAGTAATCTAAGAAAAGAAAAGAATTGGCAGCAGATCAGCAAACCCATCAGGCAATGGATGGCACATCAGAGACAGTTTTATTTTTCTCTATAAAGAAGTGTTTATTCACTACTGTGCATCAATGTTATTTGTGATCAGAGGTGGCAAGGAAGGGAAGCAAGCAGGGTTGGGTAAACCAGGGAAGCAGAGAGCACATGCAAGTTTGTGACTACTGGTAAGGTTACCAAGAGAGGCTGTCAGGCAGAGCTGTGGAGAAGGCAGCAGTGCTGATGTCTAATGGGTAGGTAGTTTGGAGTCTGGTCCAGACCTAAATATGAGCAAAAGCTTAACTCTCTTCAATTTCAGTGGAGTTGGACTGAATCCTGCAAAACAGCACCATCTCCAAATAGCTGAATAGTTCCAGGTACATCCAGACTTTTACTCCACCTGGTAAATACAGCACGGTGAATGGCTGCCAAAACTGCACCACAATGTGCAGGCTAAATTTGGACTGAACAAGGTCTTCAAGGTCAGTATAACTGATTTTTGAGCTCCTGCTAACTTCACAAAGGCATGTGCACAACAAACCATCCTATAAACCAGGATGCAAGGAGCAAAAGTAGTTGATAATCTTGCTGGAATTTCTGCAAAAACATAACCAAGAAAAGTTTCCTGAAGTATCACTAAGTTTGCACATGGACCTATGAAAGCTAGGAAAGTGAGAGCAGGGGACATAAACTCCTGACTGACAATACTTCTTTGTCTCATGCATTATGAAAACAAAAAGAAGAAAAACAAACCCCAAAAATTAGAATGCCATGAGCATAAAACAAAGTACCAGTGTGACTTTGCAGATTAATTTTGAATTTCCTTGCTTTCATTGGTTTAAGAGCCCTATTGTTACTCTCTTGTTTCTTTAATTGCAGACACTAAAAATTCTTTTATCTCTCAAAGTCCTTCAAGTCTGTTATATAAATATGTAATTAAAGCCTCTTTCAACTGGGTATAATTTACTCTATAGTTTACAACAGCTGCACTAGAGCTATTACAGTTTATCATTTAAAAGCCTAATTAAGGGCTTCTTAATTAGTGGATCCTTCAGTCACTAGACTGTGACTATGTAAAAGATGCTTGGCAGCTATTGCATGTTACAAATCTGCATGAAATGTTTGCCTGAAAACAGGGTATGTGCAAGTCCAGAAGCATATTAACTGTCCCAATAGGTCAGCACATCTTAATGTGCAAACCTCCACATTAAGGCTATGCTCTCATCTCCAAGTGCAAAGCTCATTTGCAGACATCCTTTCCCCTCGTGCACGTGTTGTGGAGAACCACTCCATTGTCCAGTGCAGGGGCCAGAGTGCGAGACCGCCCACAGTAGCTCAGTGCCTCCTGCTGCACCTCGCACACCTTCCCACGATTTGCTCTGCCACCCAGCTATAACTTCCAGCCCAAGCTGAAAGCTGACTCTGTTCCCTGGACTCCTCATACAACCTCCTGAGTGCAGAACAGTCAAGCCTGGAAAGGACTACTCTCTACCTTTTCCTGCGCCCTTTCCCACAGCATCCCTAGAGAGCTGCCAGCCTAGCTGAGTTGAGCCGCTATGCCAGTCCTCTCTGATGTGGCAAATATCATGTTCAAACACACCCGAGAGGATGGGGCTGTGCCTGCTGGCTGCTTACGCTGGTTCTCACATGGCTTGTCAAGTGCTTTCTTCAGTGAATGCCATGTCTTGCTGTTGCCATGCTCTCCTCAGCAGCTGTGCCGCTGTGCTGCATTCAGTGGGAAGCTCCTCTGCGGTGCCCAGAGTACTCGCATCACTAGGAGGAGGAAGGGAGATCCAGTTACTGCCTCTCACTTAAAACCACCAACACACATTTCTCATTAATCACCACTGAATTAGCAGTCAGTCACTGAGATTTTAAGTGCAATCTCTGCCCAGGGATGGTACTGGAACTCCATCATCCTTCACCTCTGGGTGGCACAGTGTGGGGGAGCAGTCAGTGGAGCTATAGTTCATCTTTACAGGAATCGCTCACTGGAACGAGCTCGTACCAGCTCAGAGCACTCAGAACCTACTGCTCAGTGAGCAAGAGCTGGTCCAGACCATACTCTGGAGCACTGATGGGCTTTTTACGTTTGCACCTCCTTGTAACACAGGAGATCTGTTACAGAGGGTCAGATCTGGGGCCTGCAGTCTTCAAGAGCATTGCTTTGAACAATACAGTGACAAAAGCATGAGTTCTTATTGACTGCAGGATAATATAAATCAGCTATTGAAAACCTGTATCATTAGCACTATTGCTTTCCAGTGGTAGATAGCTGCAGTAACGGATTGGCCTCTCCATCTCATCCTCCCACTGGAAAACAACATACACAGGACCAATCAATAACCTGATCTAAGTTACTTGTAAACGTGTCAGGTGCAAATATCTCCCTTTCTCAGAGGTTTTAAAGACCAGATACTTTTGCAAAATTTAGGCCAGGCAACAAATTGCTTTGGATAAATTGTTGTTATGGTGGAGCACAGCATTACCAGATCCACCCACATTGTTACAAGGGAGTTTTAAATAGACAGGGAATAAATTTATTACATGCATGCATTACTTTGTGGGGTCAATAGCTCAAGATGCTCCTCTGCAATAGAAAAAGTTCCATTTGAAAAGCACTTTTTCTAGTATCCATGTTGTTTAAAAGCCTGTCTTCAACAGGAAATAACTAGATTATTTCAGCATGGGGGATTGCTACTAATTTCTATAATTGAAATCCTAAAATACCTTCAAAATCAAAACCAAAATCCACTGTCATTGCTGGGGCAGGATTTCCTCCGTTGTATCACAACACATTACCCACTTTATTTAGCGTTGCCAAAACTGAAGTCAACAGAAACTTCACACGTCACGGCCACTTTCTGCACATGGACCCAAGGAAAAGTTACAGAGTGGTGTATGTGCCTTCCCTATGCAAAGCTGGAATCACTTTTACTCCATCAGCATCATTAAAGCATCCACATACATTTCTTCCCCTGACTCTGCTCTCATTTGCACACTCACAGAAGGGATATATTTAAGACTTAAAGCAGGTCAGAAGGAAGCTGAAGCACAGTTATGGCCTGCAGGGACAGCCAGGGACCCACGAGGCAGCAGCTGTGCACTGAGTTGCTGTGGCACTCTGACTCACGGCAGCCCTTCTGAAAACACTAGCTTGAACTTTCTGAAAGGTGAGCTGCCACCTTTGGAGAACCCTTGTCGCAAGCAGCCTACAGAGTCAACTGGGAACTTTACAGGGACAGCATATTTTTTTGAGCTGACTTTCCTAGAAAACATTGTTCTCCTAATTCTTGGAAGCTCTGAAATCCTTAAACACCCTTTTAAACTGGTCCTTATTGTACAACACTTAAACTACTCAGCCCACAGGGCACCGATGCCCATTTTCTTCAGTGTGGAAGTTCAGTGGTATCCAAAGTGATGCCATTGAAAAGATTTTCTCTGAATTCATTTCTCATTGTCTTTTGTGACACAATAGCCTTTCAGAAGTGGAAAAGGCCATAGTAGAGTAGTGGCTATGTTCAGGTGGCTAAAGAGAGAATGGAGAGAATTGCTGCCACAAGTGCTGAAAACAGAGGAGAAAATAACATTCTGCTTCAAGGCTAGCAGCTGACTTGCCCCAGCCCAAGGGCTGCTGCCCAATCCCTTGGGTGTTGCAGCCCTATAAGCTGAAGAGGGGAGATTTACATCACTACTGTATTCACTTTGCACCAAGACAGCCCACACACCCTTTGTTCCTTATGGATTTGAAAGATCTGGTGAATCAAGGGCAAATTTGGTGCATTCCAGGATGCACTCAAATGGGGAGACTCCCTATGAAGAAGAAAGAAATGAACCCCTCTGGCAAATAAGAGACCTCTTTTTGATGGGGGCAGGATCATGGATCGTCATTTTATTCAGTCCTCTGCCATTCCACTCCTGTTTTTGGGGGGTTGATAAATGTAAACACACCAGAAGAGCTCAGTATCTTTCAAAACTTCTCCATTTCACTAACTTGTTCCAACCTCCATCACAGATCTTTCCTTGTCAGCGACTGTACCACCATGATATACCTCTACCCACGCACAAATGCACTGGTTTAAGGTATGCACTGGAATCTCTGTTGAAGGAACAAGCAATCATCCCAGAGACTGACACAGCTGCTATTTGCATGTAAAAGAGGAAAAGAAGGTGCATGACTGAGCCCAAATTAGCATGAGCAAAGCCTCCCACCACATTTGCAAACTACAGATTGCACAGTGGTGCTAATAGAGGTGCACATTTTCTTCACAAAGAAAGATTTCTACCTCAGCTATATGGAAACTTACCTAACAGCGGTTCACAGAATTTAAGATCACATGAACTTCCAAATCCCTTTTTCTCTAAAATTTATAGAGTGCTTGAAAAAGAGGAACACAGTGGATGTAGAGTGAGCTGGATATGCCCAGGTTTAATTTTGTCTCTGCTTCCAGCCTAATTCCTCAAGCTAGCTACAGCAATGACAGCAATATTTTCTAAGGCCTCCACCATTGTACCCCTACATTTTTGAACATCCAGAAATATTCACAGTGCTCAGCGCGCTGAAAAATTAAAACCAAAACAAACAGGAGAGATGCAGATCAAACTCTCCACGTCTCACTTCTGTCCTTTGGGAAATGAGGACTACTAACTTCTTTTTCACAATCGGTTCTTTCAAAGGGATGCCGTGGGGAATCATTTATGTCTGGAAAATCCTGCTGAAGACACACACTTCGTTAAGTGCAAGATCTCTGGATTTTAGCACAATCTATGGCTCTTCCCATGGCTGCGTACACAGACACACAAACATCCATGCCTTTGCACATACCTACTGAATCATAAACAGATAAGTGGCCTCAGCAGACTATTTGAAGCAAAGCACTTTTATTAAGAACTGTCCCCCAAACTGAACTGCACTTTGAGCTCTCGTAGCTGAAAAGTTACAGACTCTCTTTCCTTTATCATCATACTTTTATGGAAGATGTTGGAACAGTTTGGTGCCTCTGCTATTTCCGCTGTAGCTTTAGCTCCTCTGAGAGACTAGAAAGAATAGTAAATGCAGACGTTAATGGTAATAAAAATCAAAGCTAAGCTTTACATGAAGAGAAATAAATTCCAAAATGAAAAATTCGATTATACAGTACCTGTCTCCTGTCTTGACTTTCTCATTATACGTAGAAATTAACCCTGTCATTAAGTACTTTGATCAGGCTGTACATAAACAGCTTATAACGGCATGAAATCTACCACAGCAAATAGGCAAATGAGCAAGGGGAGAAATACTGACATTTGGGGCTGCTGTCAGACATCAAGTGCTCCTGCTCCCTCAGGGCCAAACTGCTAGAGTAAATGGAGTTACTCCAAGGATGAATTGCTCCCTCCTGGATTGTGCCACTTCTAGAAAGTTTCAGTAACAATATCTAAGAGGCTATGATTTGGAGATCAGTAGCATCTTTTCAAGATCTTTGAGAGATGTTTAAATATGGCTGTGGTAGCTGCTCTTAGCCTAAAACTCAGCATGGAAATTCTGAGGCATGACAGAACTGAAGCAGTATGTGGTCAAACTGGTACAGGTTTCCATTGCTCAGAAATGAGGCATGGCATCATTTCATGTACTCCAGTTCCACACATTTGTCACTTAAATTTGGACTATTTCCAGGCACAAACACATATCATAAACAAGTTTTCTGGGCAATTGAGTTTGTTTTCTGTTTTGTTTGTTTGTTGGGATTCTGGAGCAGAAGTTTACTTCTTCTGGGACACATTTAATTCAGTGTAACTATACTTACTTCTGTTACTACCTAGATTTCTTGCACAAATAGACTGTCACACCATTAGAGGTGGTCAGGCCAACAGGGTCCCTTTCTAGCTCTGCCACTGGCCTGCCATAGGTCCCTTACCATCTGTGAGCCCTGGTTTCAAGCAGTCATGTCTGCAGTGTGTTCTTTCCACTTCTTTTCTCAGAAGACTCTCAGGGTGGAGCTTGAGTGAGGGTGGCCAGGTACAACCTCTGCCCCAGAGCACCACCTGGGGGTACTCCATTTTGTTTAGAAAGTACAGCTGGACTGCCCTTCTCTGTTCTCCTGACTGAGCCACTACGGGGCTTCTGGTCATTTGACCAAGTGCAACAGACACAGATGTAAGGGAGAAATCCTGACCCATATAGGAAAACAGTTTCCCACCATACTCAGTTCTGACCAAAACAGCTCAGATAAAATATCATGGATGCTTTGTAGCTTCTAAGTGTACTGTTCTCACTCTATAAACATGCCAGTTAGGTGCATATAAAAATGGTCCCTTCCAGATCCACAAATACTCAGGTGCTCCTTTCTGTAGACAATCATGTAAAGAATACAACAATGCTAATGGCCACATACCAGGCAAATAATAGTACTGTTTGGGATGGAAATGGAGGCTTTGACCCAAGCTACAGTGGGCAGGAGTCAGGGAGCACAATAAAGGTCTCTAAAGGTGAGAAGATGAGCAGTCACTTGATAGCTGAGCAGAAGCGGGAGGGCTTGTAGTAGATGGGGTGGTAGGGAGGAAAGGCACTCACAGCAGACAGCTGGCAGGGGATGGAGCAAGCTGGAGGCAGCATTTTTACATCTGGCTTTCATGTACTAAACCAAACTCTTTTAACACATGTGTAGTCTCTTGTAATAAAGCAAGAGACATTTCTTTTGAATTTGCAGTTTCTGCTCAAACTCAATTATTTAAGTACTGCCAGGTATTTTGCCTGCACTAAAAGTTGCAGAAAGAGTGTACCTGAAATTGCT